GAGTGATGGGTGATAATAAGAAATTGATTTCATCTTCTTCTTCTTCAAGCACCTCGATTTACGATACTACTCGTGTTGGTGGTAATAACAATCATCATCATCATCCACCGTCTTCTTCCGACGAGATTTCTCAGTTTCTCCGGCATATTTTCGACCGTTCTTCTCCTTTACCTTCTTACTATTCTCCGGCGATGATTTCGACGGCGACGATCGGTGACCCACATGCAGAAAACCCGAGTTGTTTCGTTTCTTCTTCTCATCCTCCACCACCACCGACGAAACGCGCCGGTGGTGGTGATTTCTCGGAGGTTTTATTCGGTTCTACCGCCGTTGGATCAGGCTCTTCCTCCGCCGCGTGTTTTGGTTTCTCCGGTGGTAATAATAATGCTCAAGGAAACAGCTCAGGGACTAGAGTGTCGTCTTCTTCAGTTGGTGCTAGCGAGAACGAAACCGATGAGTATGATTGCGAAAGCGAGGTACTTTGTAAAAAAAATATTTCTCTTTGCATGTTTTTGAAAGTTTGAAGATTTTTAAAAACTCAATCTTTCTCTGTTTCCCGAGAAAAATGTTCTACAGAGATTTTCTTTTAACGGATCTGTACTTTTTTTGTAATAATGCACATAAAGTGTTTGTTGATATGCTTGAATGAAATCAGGAAGGAGGAGAAGCTGTGGTTGATGAACCTTCTTCTAAGTCAGGTCCTTCTCGTAGCTCATCTAAGAGATGCAGAGCTGCAGAAGTTCATAATTTGTCTGAAAAGGTTTCTTTTTCTGTCTCTCCTAATTTGTTTTCAGACACAATCAGATTCGTACTTTAGATTTGATGTTGTCTTTGTACATGAACAGAGGAGGAGAAGTAGAATCAATGAAAAGATGAAAGCTTTACAGAGTCTTATTCCAAATTCAAATAAGGTAAATACACTCATGAATCATTTCTGTTTCCTTTTTACTTCGTATTGTGTTTGATTGTAACAATATTGTGTTTGATTGGTGAAGACGGATAAAGCTTCAATGCTTGATGAAGCTATAGAGTATCTGAAACAGCTTCAGCTTCAAGTCCAGGTTACAAAAACCCTTCTCAAAAGATATGATTCATTCGCTAAAGTTTATAGTTTTGCGAACCGATGTGTGAAAGTTTACACGTTTTGTTTGAGCTTTTGCAGATGTTGACAATGAGGAATGGAATGAACTTACATCCTCTGTGTTTACCTGGAACTACATTACACCCATTGCAACTCTCTCATATGCGACCTGTGATTCCTCAAGAACCAACCAATGATTCTCTACTTAATCACACAAATCAGTTTGCTTCGGCTTCTAATGCACCGGATATGATCAACACCGTGCCTTCTTCATACACGATGGAGCCTTCCATTCGCAGTCACTTTGGACCTTTCCCTCTCCTTACTTCACCCATGGTGCGCGTAATACATTTCTCTCTTTATAAACCCTAGTTTCTTGAAAGCTAGTTTGCTTATTAGATTTTGTTTGTTACTTGAAGGAAATGAGTCGAGAAGGCGGGTTAACTCATCAAAGGTTGAACATTAGACATTCCAACACAAACTTAACCGGTAAAACTCTTCTTGAATTTGAATACTTAAAGAAGTTTTAAGTGATTGACAGTGTTAAAATGTCGCGGTATTTGGGGATTCGCAGGGGAACAATCTACGTTTGATGGACAACAGCCTGACCGAAAAGATCGACTTACTTGAACAAATCTCAACTTTGGATTCTGTGTGTTCTTGTTTCTTTGGATGCAAGCAACAAAGCTGGACTGACAATGGATGATGCATTTAACAGTCATTTAATTGGTTTTCTAAGGTTTCTGTTTCTTTATAAAATGTTGTTAACACGAACTCTAGAGACTAGTCTTTCATGCTAATAGCTATATATATATATATAAAGACTTGAACTTTTGATTACAAAGTAATGTTAGGTTTATTATATGTATGATTATGATTGGGATGTAAATTTTCTAGATCATCTTCTCATTGTATTGAGAGACTTGATGGTTTCGATTTGTAAATTACTTATAAGCTTCTAGTGAAGTTGTCTAAGCATCAAATTCTCCACATGAACTTGATTTCTTAAGTTTGACCATATATATCTTGCTGCCTTCTTTTTGCCACTAAAAAGTTCATGAAATTCTGTAATTGATTATGTTCCACCGGTTTTTGTTCCTGAACCGTTTTATTTAGTTGATTATAAATTGTTGATAAAAAACGGGTGAAGTAGAAAGACACAAGTGGTAAAAATTTTGGGAGGGGGAAATCGTTCTAGTTATATTTCTAATGGGAAAAATAAGCATCTATACTGATGCGCCATTTTGGTTTATTTAAATGTGGTTAAGGTTTATTTATAAGATGAATTTTAAAGAGATAATAAATTCATGTAATTTTATGATCGGTTTAAACTATTTATATAGTAAAAAAAAATAATAATGTATGGAGAAAAATCGTTTTAGTTGCAATTCT